TTCATTTTTGAGAAGCGTAGGATTCACAGCCATTTATGCACCTCGGTAGCCACTTAGCTGTTATGGGCGCAAAATGACCCCAGAAGTCAGCGGGCCCTAAAACCCCATTCATGTTCATCATAACATTTAAGAGCAATTCTGTTTTATTGGTAATGTGCTACTATTTGAAATACAGCTGAGATAAGGAACGCACCTGATTAACCACGTTTTTCCAACTCTGTTCTATCACGTAAGGGGGGGAGGGGATGTTTCTACCACGGCTGAGGAAAAGACGTGCCTAAGAAAAAGAAACTCCTAGAAGGAAGGTGTTGAGCTCCACCCTACTCTGGTGTTAGCCTCGCGTGACGTTTAAGCCTCAGTTGCTTTGATGGGGAGACAACGGCCTTTTGTCATCCGGTACGCCTTGAGAATACGGCAGATGGACTCACACCCAGCGTTTTGTCCGATGTTCTCCGGAAAAATTATCCGGACCGTAGCACAGGATCCGGCTGAGAACTCAGCCGCTTTGTTTCCCAGTGGATGAGTGGTTAAAGAATGCTGAAGTTGACGTAAACCACATACAGGCCCAGACACATTCAGCCGCCGAGCCTTGGATGTTGTTCACCCCGCCGTGCGACCTTACACTAACCACATACTTTAAGAATGGCACCTTGGCACTTGAGATGAAAGAGGGAGCTTAAGAACTTTTATGAAACACGTACAGAGGAGCAGCACATCTCTATACTGACTGATACAGGACGTCCCGGGACACTGGGTGTGCCTACATATCGTCTTGAGGCATAGGAAGGTGTGCGATACTCCCATGTGCGTTTGTTTTTATCGCTGAACTGGTACTGCCATGCTCTTTAATATTTACGAACTCCCCCGAAGTAGTGTTTCTCTCCCGAATCACACTGCTTCAGCGACTCAGCTGATCCAGCCAATCCTAGAAAGTGTCACGTCTAAGAAAGAAAACGGTGAACAGATCGCTTTAGTCCGGATACCCATTCACCTCATCCTGAGCGGCAATGACTCTGCTGACCGGGGTGCGAAGATTGCAGGGTCGCTTCCCCCAGACGAGAACACACGGGTCCCCACAGATACGGATGAAAAAGCGAAGTGTGTGGAGACAGATGGTGCGGCAAGGATACAGAACAGCACGTCAGTGGTAATGTTCTGGGCAAGGCAGTATTAAGGATATACAGAGAGCAGCTCGTCAACCACAGGCGGCATGCTCAACTGCTCGATACGACTGAGCAGGGATAAAGGCGGCAGGGTTGGGCTCAATGGCTTAGATAAAACACGGCAATTTTTTGTTTGCTTTCTTTGCATATTTCCCCCTGCTTTTCGGACAATTTTAAATTCATTTCTGCTATTTGTTTCGATAGAGGTCTGTTGCCGAATTATCAACGGATCTCTATATCCATTCTCCTGATTTTTCTCCGAAGAAGAAGGCTTACTGCTTTACTTGCTGCTCATTACTACTACTTTATTTGTGTACATGATGTTCCTCGCAAATGTACTTATAAACTTAGCAAATCACATTTGACATACGCCTTATCCTCTCTCAAAGTAAATTTTCCTTATTAAAAGACATTGAAGCAAGCAACAGATATAAAACTAAATAAGGCCACTTATACCTGTTGGAGTACTTTTAAGTGGAAAATCTGCTCTAGATAACACAATATCCCTGTTTAGTACATGTCCTACTCAATGCATCATTGGTTGATTACGTCGTCGCGTATTGCACAACATTAATTGAGAGCTAATTGACGGTCGTTGATCTGGACATTGCGCTCACGAACGCACAGATATGAACAATTTGACACTTATATTTGTTTAAACATTCACTGCCGTATGCCTCATGGGATGAGGGGATTTGAATGACGTTATTATGGTGTCATGGATGTCTGGTTGAACTGAAATAGTCTCCCCAAAATAGTCTGCACATCTTCGCGGGGTTGTCGCTCATAAATAAGAGGCAGGGCTGTGAACCATACCGAACGATATGCAAGATGGCTATTTTGGCTCAAAACCCCATGTAAATGCAGAACACTCCTTTCCAGCGCATCGTACGAGACTCCTTCCCGACTTCGCGTCGCATGCTGTTCCGAAGTCATCTCGAACGCCTACCCGGACAGGATGTAACCAGGCAGAGCCGTTGGTGTCAGTGCAGCGGGTCGGGAGGGGGGAGGGGGCGGGCGGAAGCCGTCCGGTGCGAAACGGTACTCTCGTCCGCTGTCGCAGCCCCCATCCTCGACTGAATGCAGACGCGCGGTCTGGTTCGATGGCGTGAGGCCCCCGTCAGGCCGGAGCCGACGGGGGCGTTCGTGCGTCAAGCCCGTCCCGAAGCCCGGTATTGGAAACGAGCGCTTAGCATGCGGTCCGGGAGCTGTCGAGCGGATGGCGACACGGGCTCTCACCAAACTTGATTTCCTGTCGCGGCACACACGCCCGTGGGCTCCGCCGGCCCGTGCATGTTAGGCGTCGCTGCGACCGCGAACGTGAGCTGCCTGCCGCTTCATGGTCACACAGTGGTCTCTGGCGCGAACAAACCCACGTGTGTGACATCGCCGTCAGGGAGCTCGGTTCAGACGCGGGCGACGGCGAGCTTCGGAGTCCGAGCGGGATCCAGCGTCATCTACTGCAGCGTGAATCCGTCACACAGATCCACGTATAAGTTATGCAATGAGGCAAGTGTTTCGCGTAAATAATAATGGATGTATAATATTTGGAGCAGTACAGTAGTTCGATGATCAATAGCCGTCAAACACGACAGCGCTCTACCGCTTTAGAGTTTGCAAAAGTGGCGATGGGGTATGGTGCATGCAAAAAAAAACGATGGGAGAATCTAATGGAAACAGAAATAAGAAATCGGGGTTGCGTGTGAGACCCGCGAACGTAGGTCCCGTGTTTGTAACCGAGTGGAATCCGGGATCCAAGGCTGCCCTGTGTAAAATATGGAATTGAAACCAAGATCCAGAGTCTCGTTTTCATGAAAAGCTGAAAACCAGGAACCGTCCTTAGGAGCCATACGGATGTCTGGATAAATAACTCACCTGAATTTGAAACGGTAGCTTGGTGAACAGAAACCGTGCTCGGGAAAGCTGAAGAACATTGCTGATTCTTGCGAGCGAGAGGGCGGGCGGAGTTGAGAACCTGGATCATGGAGGTTAATCATCGCACACTTGTCATAGTATGTACACAAGCCACTGGTGTCGGAGGCCACGATTCCGGGGATCAGTCTGAATCTTGATCGGGGGCGAACCCGCAGCGGCCACATTTTTCAAGAAAAAAGACCGGGATACCAGCTGATCGGCAATGGTTACTTCAGCGGCAACACATTCATCGCATGATTTTGATCTCAGTGGCACCATGCAGCAGAGGCCATGCCTTTGGTCCGACCCCAGCACGGCGGTATCGACACCCTGACCCAGCTGCCACAGGCTGGCGCAGCCTACCCCGCTCTGCCCGGGTCGAACGGCTCCCGCCGCACTCGAGATGATCCAGAGACGCTATGGTCGTGAACGGACCGGCGGCCTCATGGAGGCATCTGTGTGTAGCTGCGCTGTGGGAGGACATGACGCCTGTGTGATCCGGCCACGCGGCTGTCGGCGGGGCGGCCGGCGGGTCGGGGAGGTGCGCTCCCGCCTGAAGGGTGGCCGGCGGGTCGGGGAGGTGCGCTCCCGCCCGAGGGATGACCGACGTGTACGCTGCTCCGAACGGATCGGCCGACAATCTTTGCTTCTTAGGAGTATAGGCGTGAGATATATGCATATATATATATATATATATATATATATATATATATATATATATATATATATATATGAGTGTGTGTGTGTGTATGTGTGTGTGTGTGTGTGTGTGTATGCACGCATGTATGTATATATATACACATTAGAGCGGAGTATTCGCAGAACAGTTGGATTCCAATCGTAGGCTAGTGGATTCGGATTCCAGCTTCAAATCATTCAAAGAAGCTGCGTCGAACTATCGAAGTACAATGAAAAAGAACGGAGATCGGGTGGCTCGCTCCGATGCAGAACGGTCAAATCTGTGGATCAAGTAGTTATCTAAACGAAACGTGAAGCCGCATTGTATTCAATACATTGAGCCGTATATTCAAATGCAATTTATTTATGCTTTGAGCATTGATTGTGGTTTTATGCCTCAGATCTCGATTTTCAGAAATCGAATCCCCGTTTTTAGCACTCGAAGAATTACAAAATATGAAATTATTTGAATCCTGCCAATTTGGATCCTCAGCTCTAGTGTATACATGATGAAGGGTCGCGTGTATATATAACAACTCACCTATTATGATTTCGGTACCGTGGCCCCGTCAGTGACCGGCCCTGTCTGCCGCTGTACCGGTTGGCGCGACACCGATCAGTGGTGCTCGACTGACCCGGCCGTCGGACGTCAGACCTCAGCTCGAGATGGACGGACCAGGCAGGCGGACGCTGCTCTGCGGCCTGCTGGCGGCGCTCATGCTGATAGTCGGCCCGGCCGCCGCCTCCGCCGGACACTACGGGCCGCCGGCCGACGCCAGCGCCGCCGAACCCAGCGGCCGCGGAGGTAACCAGCAGCTGACTCAGCGGAACCGGTTTGATGTCTGGTTCGCGGATGTCGCTCATCGATGGCAAATTACATTACTGTGGCACATACAGGTCGCGTCGTTTCAACGAACTGTTGAAGGATGTGCTTCTTGCTCGGTGTACGCACTGTTTCAAGTAACAGAGACGTAAAATTTCGCAAGGAGGGCAGTCTGAAATCTGATCTATACATACCAGTGCCTCAGTGCAGCTGCCAATCCTTTATTGGGCTTATTGACGATCGCTATGGGTCTCCAGTCGCTTATTGCCCTTAGGGTATGAAGACTTGGAATTTGGAGGTCACTTGGAGCGAGCAGCTGACGATTAAAGTTCCAACAGTGATCTGCGGTCTTTCTGAGTAGATAATGTTATTTTCTCTCGGTATACGTGCCCACATATTGCTTACTGGCAATCTTCTGTTACAGACTTTCTCAGTGTCGAAACCAAGGCAGACAGATTTTTCCTCGGACCTCGCTTTGGAAAACGGCAACAGGATTCTTTCACCATAGGTGGTAAGGCTGTTGACAGCTGCGTGCTGTTTATACAATATTAATTGCGGTGCAACACATTTTCTCCGGCCATCAGTGTGGAATCCCATTCAGTAGGGGACCCGAGCCCACCCGACTTACAGCCGAGCCCTCCCGACTGGAAAGGGAGCCCTCCCCGGACAAACATCACCATGGGTTGTCCATGGGTTGTCCCCAATGACAGCATTGACGGAGCTTGCAGAGAGTGATTGGGAAGTTCCGCTCCTGGGTCCGCGCGCCTCTGGGCCCCTGAGCTGCTCCTGCGCTGACGCCGGCGTCGTCTGCGCGCAGGCGCCGTCGGCGGGCAGCGGCTGCCGGATGTGCTCAGCGACGGCTTCTCCTTCACCTGCGTCGCCGTCGAGCCGGACAACATCTACCGGTGTCGCCCGTGAGCGCTCCCAGCCCTCGCCGCTGTTCGGTTTGCTCGCACAGCAGCTTTTGCTGCACGATGATTGGCTGTTATGTAGCCATGTCGCAATTCAGTATTTGTGCTTGTTCCTGTTGTGATGTTGTGTCTGTTTTGTTTTTTAAGTTGCATGTTTTCTCCTTTCAAAATGATGCTTCTCTGGTGGCAAAGAAGCGTCAAAGGATAACAAGAGGCTTCTAACCACAGATAACAAATGAGCATGAACTGATATAAAAATTAGAAATTGCCCCAATCATTGTTGTGTCTAAGAATACATGACAATATGTCACGAGCGTATGTTGGTCAGCAGGCAGTATCTGACCGCTCTAGCCCACGTTAGGTCTCCCGTGGTTGCCCGGACATGCGAGCCGGCCGCACGTTAGTGGCGCCGACTGACCCGATGTGTGACCGGCCGTCCCGCCCCACCCGCTCGTATTCCAGCGCACAGCGGCTGACCCGGTATGTGACCGGCCGTCTCGCCCCACCCGCTCGTGTTCCAGCGCGCAGCGGCTGGGGAGCAGTGGCATGTGATGGCGGCACCGCCTCCGGCACCCGGCCCCAGCGGTCACCGTCGACTGAAGACCAGCTGGGCCCGCAGAGGCCGCGTCCGCTGTGTGGGGCGCTGGCCAGCCGGGCCGCACCCGCTGAAGCCACACCTGCATACTGTCACGTCTGAAGGCGCCCGGCTGACGGCCAAGGCCCGTTCCGGCTACTGACCACAGCCACCCCTCCGTCCCCACCCCCGCCCGAGCCGAGCCGACCTTGTCGGACTGTCAGAGGAGTCGGCTCTGCTCTGACAGAGGTCTGTTTTGCCGGGCCGCCTGCCGGGTGCGGAGCGGTGCCTAGCCTTCCGGACGCGTCCCTCACCGGCGGCTGGAGCGATCTCCTGTGTGAGGAAGCAAGGGCGCGTTTGAAATCCTATGAATCTGGGGGCTGGAAACGTCGATTTGATTTCAGTCGGGAAAAATTGTACGATGACGCCTTGTTTTGGCGTTGTTCCTTTCTGTCGGGTTTAAAGGGGATATTGTCTGTTGGTTGAGTTAGCGACGTAGTGCGTTACATTGTTCACTACCATACCTGGGCTGGAGGGATCTCACTGCCCGTAGTTCGGGTCGTCCGGAAATCAGCGCGTAAATCGTGGGTGGCTCTCAAACTGGTGCAGACGAGCGCGCGTCGGAAGTTAGCGCTGATGTCTGAAGGTACGTCAAAAGTGGCTCTCAAACTGCGGTTCATATGAGCGTTTATCGTGCGGAGCTGTCAAAATAATAGAAAATCCCACCCGATTCGTGGGCTTGTTTCCACACGATTTGAAACGCGCATTTGCATCCCTCCAGCTCTAGCGTTGGGACACAGACGAGGCGCAAGTGATTTCGCTCGAGATCACGTTGCAAGACCATGTTGTGGGATATCGTCAAACAGATGTCAATGCCAAGTAACGCTGCATGCCACCTGAGGCATTATATTACATTCAGTGACGGCAAATAAATTCTGCAAAGAGCTTGACAATGTATTCTACGAAAAGCGGCCTTCAGTATCACACAGCACCTGCACCTACAGCATGCAAGCAGACTGGTTTCTGAATTTTCGAATACAACCCAGCGTCAGATGCAACCTTTTAGTTTGGAAGAGCAAACATTTGTGGCAGTCAAAGGAATCCTTTTGTCCCAGAGCAACCACTGATGCTGGATCCTGTCACCATTTGTTCCATCTGGCAGCGTTGACTGGGGCTGACAAGCTGATCTTCTGTCTCTGAGGTGACCATATTATAGCAGTATGACAGGAAAAAGACCGTTTTCGTCGGATCTCAGGGAAAATGGGCTCACTAGTAAAATGCTTAATGAACGATGCATCCTTTTGCACCTTGCATTGTAGTGTTTTTTGCTCGACCGCTGCCATAATGAAGCACCGATAGGGATGGTACTTGCGTTTTATATTTGGCCCGTGTTAAAACCCCATAGCCCAATCCTTTCAATGCCTGCAATCAATGCATGTGCGTAAGGTGATGTATCAATTGCAGTAGAGAAACATGCGATGGCATCCATTCTCTCAAGCTAGATGCACGAGGAACAGGAGAATGCGCAAGTGTTTAGTTACGGTTTTGACAAGTCATCGTATGGTACTGGCCTGATGTCGAATTCTTACGACGGTTTGCGGATTAATAACATTAGAGGCCCTTGCATGGGTAAGATTCAACTCACGATGAATGGAAATCAGACCTGCATTCACCAGTTTTATGAGGCTATGAACCCATGCTCAGACCCGGGCTTAACCGGACTAACTTGAACCAGACCGAGGTTCAAAGATCCTGGAAACTGGAGACTTGGGAGTCAGACGCGCACTCGCCACTTGTATTGTCACAAGCGGCGTCCGTCTCCCACCTGGAAATCAATCGATGGAGCGTCAAATGGACGCTCTATCTCTGGGATGCCACATGTAAAGGGAATCTTCCACCACCAATATCTCTAGGATGCATGCTGTTACTCTGGCATGCCACATATAAAGGGAATGTTCCACCTTTGAAAATATTATGATAAAATAAGCTTACATATAGCTATTGGTGTCCTTATAAGTGGAAAAGACCGGTCTAGACAACACAATTTTTCTGTTTAGTAAACATGTTCCCCAAGATGTTATTGTTTGATTGCGTAATCGTACCTTGAACATTGATTAAACGTCAATTGACGACTGTTCATTTTGGAAGTCGTGCTCGCGAACGCCAGATACGAACAACTCGACAACCATATTTGTATTTGTCTTGATCGCCGCACGGCTAATGGAATGGTAGGATTTAAAGAAATGACGTTATCAACTTTGCGTTGTTTTGCAAGGAAACCGCATACTAGTTTTGGCAGCCTTGGCTTCTAGTCCAGATCTACTAGTCGTGTGCATACGACAGCAACGATGCTCTGGGAGCTGTACAAAAATGCTGCAAAAACAAAAACTTAGGTGGCAGTTGTATTTGAACTAACATGTTTGAGAACCGTTGAAGAATACACCACAAAATCAGCGTTGGCGGGAAATGCATACAGATCGTTGGGATGAATCTCACATATCTACTTCATCAATAAATAGATGTCATCAAAAAGTTTGTCGCCTCGTGCGGATTGAGTGAAGGCTGCCACATCATTAGTTAACAGTTAATCGAAGCACGAGCAGGGCTTGCGATACACTGCATAGCAATACAGGATTGCAGGACAGCTTAATGGAGTGATCCCCTTGCTAGAACGTAAAGTTGACCACTATCTTAGTACTGTCAAGAAACATAGACTCGCTCTGGCAGGACCATTGCAACGCTTGAGACGCAAGGTCTCTGTGAAAGATCGCGGAAGCAGAAATTAAAGCTAGAGTCAATTTTAATGGGTTTTACGAGATACGGTCATATGTCAACGATCCTGACACACCTATTTTTGTATTTTACTGCTCAGTGAGTTACCTGCATGGAGAAATTCCTTCCGCTGACCTCCACGACCGCTGCCTGCGGGGACGGCCCGCCGTGCTCACGCCGAGCGATAGTGGGGTCGCTATCTTCCTGTCCACCTGGCGCTCTAGAAACTCGCAGTGGTCGGCTGCAGTGGCATCCGATATGGTGCGGGTAACACCTGTTCGGCAATTCTGAGGAGTGTGGGGCTTTCGCTGGTGCCGATCGCCGCGGCGCCAACGCTGGCTTAGACGGTTCTGCCGCGCTCACGTCAAGCATCGGTGGAGCTGACGTTTTCCCTGGCATTGGTGTGAAAGGCGGCGTAGGGTTCACCCGCCGTCGTTCCGAGTCCCGCGATGGGGTCCCGGGGCGCGGTATCTGATACTGCCGTGAGATGGACGTTGACACACCTGGTACTGCGGTGATGCTACCGGCGTCCGTGGGTCTGCAGCCGCGTATCTGGCGCCGACGTACGAGTCACTGCCGGATCTGCATCGTGCGGGGCGTGATATATCGCCCTTCATTGCCTTCGCTAGTTCCACGACCTTCACAGAAAAATGAAGATGAAAGATTGAAGCATAATTAATGAAGGACTCAAATATAATTGGGCGCACGAGCAGGCACCCAGCCAGGTCAGGGACTGGTTAACCAGCTTCTAACAAATGGAATGAATACTTCCGAGCGCTCAAGACCAGATAGAAACTCACACAATAGCATTATCACAGTCATAACAGGAAAATGCAGCCTGGCCAGCGTACTATCACCGGGCTGTATCCCAGTCCATCCCAGCTGTGGATTACAGCCCCACTTAGCGAGGTTATCACCGGGCTGGATCCCTGTCCATCCCAGCTGTGGATTACAGCCCCACTTAGCGAGGTGCCGATGGCACGTGTGGCACCAACAGCACCGAGGCGCTCGATATACTGGGCGATTATGAATACCGACCGCGGCTGTCCCTCGTGGTCGCCAATGTCGTTTGCCAGATCACCGCATTGGCGGTCCGAAGGCCACTGGACAGAGCAGGATGCACGATCTGCCAAGAAGCGCTGGCGAGCCAGCTGGACGCGGCTTACCATGCAGTGCCCTGGCGGATGCTCGAGAGTGCAGTGGTGCGCTGCATCGGCACGTTACTGTGTGAGATCCAGGCCGCCACTTGCTGGAAATTCAGCACGGTTTGGAAACCACCACACCGAGCTGATCAGAATGCTGGGGGCCCCCTCCCGAAGGGTGTGTCTTCACCCCCAGGCAAAGCTGCATAACGCACGCCACCAGAGCAGCAAGATCGGGCAAAAAGTCATTAAAGCATTGCTGTTCATACCATATTAGGCCAGCTGTAGGCGCCGATATCCTATCTTCATTTGGCCGGTGGCGTATCTAGCAGACACCATTTCCTACAATTATCACACCTCTGCGATCGTTGGGTTGGTCCGGCTCACTCCCTGTTCTCTGTCTAGGCTTCTGTTATGCGTGATAGTTTTTCGTAGCTGGTACCACACTTTACCTGGGATGCTTCAGAGGACCCCCTCGGAAGTGACCATTTTCCGGTCTGGGTTCGGTTCCGTGATGGTACTGTTCTTGGTACTCGACCTTAGCATTGGAACTTCAAGAAGGCGGACTGGAGCGGATTTGAGACCCGCCTGGAGGAAATCTTTCCTTACGATTTCGACTCTGCGACACCGACCGCGAAGGAATTTACGTCTCGCGTTCTGAACGCGGCAAACTAATGCATTCCGCGCACCTCTGGATGCCCTCATCGCATCCCTGTACCTTGATCGGACGACGAGTGTCGCGACGCTATTTGCGCACGTCGGAGCGCTTTTAGGCCTTTTGACCGGCACAGCAGCACATTAAACCTCATGGCTTTCAGGCAAGCACGCGTGGCCGCACGCCGCACTATACGAGAGGCGAAACGTGCATCATGGCGCAGCCACGTCAACTCATTAAATCGCCACACGCTGACGTCACAGGTATGGGGCGGCATTAAAAGAATTGCTGCATTGAACCCGCCAATTTCACTTCCCGTACTGCGGGTGGGAAATCAAGACATCACTCACCCAAGTGATGTCGCGGAAGCCATTGGGGAAACCTTGTTGGACCATTGCCGTAATGACACCTGTGATCCACGGTTTTGGCGACACAGGGCGAGATGTGAGACTTCTCAAATTGATTTTCATACAGGTGACATACTGACATACAACAAGCATTTCACTATGATGGAACTTGAAGCGGCCATTTGCTTATTGCGTAGTGTTGTGGAGGGGCCCGTCCTCATCCACGTCATGACACGACATTTTCGTCCCCGCATACTACGAGCGCTGCTGGCACTTTTCAGCTGTATATGGGAGTCAGGTAGCTTCCTGCCAATCTGGCGAGAGGCCACGGTGGCGCCTATTTTAAAGCCCGGTAAAAGTGGAACGAACGCCTTTGACTATCGCTTGATCACCCTCACATCTTTGCTCTGCAAGCTCATGGAAAGGATGGTGAATGTGCGGCTTTCATAGACTTAAGAATGTCAAAACTTTTTACGAATGCTCGGTGTGGATTCTTTAAGAACAGGAGCACGATTGACCACATCGCGCCTCTTGATACCGCAGTGCGGGCCGGGTTTATCAGTAAACGTCATACCGGCGCTATCTTTTTTGACATAGAA